GCCTTCACTGTCTTTTTTTTTTTTACTCCTCACCAGAGGATAGAATTCTATTTATCTTCAGGAAAGAAAGGGAGACAGAGAGAAACATCAATGTGAGAGGGATACATCGACTGGCTGCCTCCCACACAACCCTGACCAGGGCTGAGGGTGAACTGCAACCAAGATATGTGCCCTTGGCTGGAATCAAACCTGTGACTCATTGGTCTGTGGGCTGATGCTCTACCACTGAGCCAAACTGGCCAGGGCTGCTCCATCCCTTCACTTTCAACCTATGTGTCTTTTGTTCTGATGTGGGTCTGTTGTAAACAACATAGATAGATAGATAGATAGATAGATAGATAGATAGATAGATAGATATAGAGATAGATATGTATAGAGATATATATAATGCTTTCTTATCCTATCAGCTGCTCTGTGTCTTTTGATTGGAGCATTCAATCCATTCACATTTAAGGTTATTATGGATATTTACTTATTTGTAGCCATTTTTGTTTATTCTGCTTATATTTTTCTTCCTATTTCTTCTACTAATTACAGCAGTCCTTTTAAAATTTCTTGCAGGTTGATTTGGCTAATATATTCCCTTAACTTTTTTTTGGTCAGGGAAGCTCTTTATTTCAACATTTATTTTCTTGTTTGTTTGTTTGTTTATTTATTTGTTTTGTTTTAATCCTCACCCAAGGACATTTTTCTATATTTTGTTCAGATAGAGTAAGAGAGAGAGAGAGAGAGAGAGAGAGAGAGAGAGAGAGAAACATCAATGTGAGAGGAACACATCGAGTAGCTGCCACCTGCACAATGCAACCAGGGCCAGGGACAAACTGCAACCGAGGTATGTGCCCTTAGCAGGAACTGAACCCGGGTCTCTCTGGACCACAGGCTGATGCTCTAACCACTGAGCAAAACCACCCAGGTCTTAACTTCTATTTTCAATGATAGACTTGCTGGATAGAGTAGTCTCAGGTTCAGATCCTTGTTTTTCATGACCTTGATTATTTCATGCTATGCCCTTCTGGCCTGTAGTGTTTCTGTGGAGAAGTCAGCTGATAGCCTTATGGGGTTCCTTTGTTGGTGACCTGTTGCTTATCTGTTGCTGCCTTTAGGATTCTCTAATTGTCTTTAATTTTTGGTGTTTTAATTACTATGTGACTTGGTGTGGGCCTCGTTGGTTTCTTCTTACTTGTGGCTCTCTGTGCTTCATGAACTTGAATGCTTTTTTCTTCACCAAATTAAGGAAGTTCCTGTCACTATTTCTTGAAATATATTCTCTAACCCTTGCTTATTTTCTTCTTCTGGCACTCCTATGATGCGAATGTTGTTACGTTTCCAGTTGTCCCACAGTTCTCTTAAGCTGTCTTCCTGGTTTTTAATTGGTTTTGGGGGGGGGCAGGTTCTGATTGGGTGATTTTTTTCTACTCTGTCTTCTAATTCACTGATCCAATCCTCAGCTTCCTCTACCAGGTACTCCCTGGGTAGATTTGCAAGCCTAAGAAAGGTTCAGTTATTTTCTAGCTTTTTGCCTGGGGGCTATTAGTCTCAGTTACTTGATGAGCCTTGGGTTGTAGCCCTCAGCTGAATGAAAAACTCCCTCCTGTGTTCAAAGTAAAAGGATTTCCAGAGGGTAGGACAGATGCTGGTTGTTAATGAACCTCAATTTGCATTTCTCTGGCCCAGCTGTGTGGGGTTAAATCCCTGAGGGAGGGGCTGCTGCTTCTCCCCAGGGCTCCAGGAAGGGGCTCCTCAAGCAAGATGGCCACTGTCTTGTGCAGCGGTGACTCAGCAAAAATGTTCAGTGCCCTCCAAATTCAGAGTGTCCCCACACAGTTCAAGTTCAGTCTGCCCTCCCTCTCCCAGAGCCTAAGGTGAGTCACTGTAGCTAATTTAGTGCTCTGGCCCTCTGTGCTGTGGAGCCGACTTGGGATGTTAACCCAGAATAAGCTGTTCACAGCTAAAACAGCTATTCATGGGTTCCCAGCCTGCCCTCTCATGCCTCTGCAGACTTACCAGGCTCGATTCAGTGTCCTTTTTTCCTGTCCCTGGTTATATGGGTCCTTGCCAGCTGCTTTTCTGTTGCTTTTTCCCAACAATTTCTTTTTATTTTAGTTGTAATTCCAGTTTGGTCCTGGGAGATGGTCTGTGTAGCTTCCATTCACTCCATTGCCATTTTGGAATTCCTATCTTGGTTTTTATTTATTTATTTATTTATTTATTTATTTATTTATTTTTAATCCTCACCCAAGGACTTTTTTTTTTTTTTTTTTTTTTTTTTTTTTTTGCATTATCTCCAGATAGAGTGGGAAGGAGAGAGAAAGGAAGAGAGAGAGAGAGAAACATTGACGTGAGAGACACATCAAGTGGTTGCAACCCACACGACCCCAACCAGGGCCAGGGACAAACTGCAACCAAGGTACATGCCCTTAGCGGGAACCAAACCCAGGACTCTTTGGTCCATGGGCCAATGCTCTAACTGCTGAGCCAAACCAGCAGGGCCTATTTTGCTTTTTAAATTCAACTGTTGATAGATACATATTTATTGCCATTTTATTGTTTATATCTTTTATCTTTCTTCTTCTTCTCCTTCTCCTTCTTCTGATTCTAAATTATAGCTTTTCTGGGTAGAGTAATCTTGGTTGAAGGTCCTAGCTTTTCATCACTTTGAATATTTCATGCCAGTCCCTCTGGCCTGCAATGTTTCTGCTGAGAATTTAGCTGACAGTCTTATAGGAGCTCCCTTGTAGATAACTAACTGCTTTTCTCTTGCCACTTTTAAGAGTCTTTCTTTGTCTTTAACCTTTTTCATTTTAATTATGATGTATCTTGTTGTGGGCCTCTTTGGGTTCATCTTGTTAGGAACTCTCTGTGCATCCTGGACTTGTATGTCTATTTCTTTCACCAGGTTTGGAAAGTTTCCTGTCATTATTTTTTTAATAGGTTTTCTGTTTTTTGCTCTCTCTCTTCTCTTTCTGGTGTCCCTATGATGTGAGTGTTGGTACACTTGAAGCTGTCCCAGAATGTCTTTACACTATCATTTTTTTAATTCTTTTTTATTTTTGCTGTTCTTATTGGGTGCTTTTTGCTTCCTTATATTCCAAATTGCTGTTTTGATTCTCAGCTTCATCTGCTCTACTGTTGATTCCCTGTAAATTAGTTTTCATTTCAGTTAGTGTATCCTTCATGTCTGACTGGTTCTTTTTTATAGTTTCCATGTTCATTTTTGCTGTTGAAGTTTTCTCTAAGTTCATCTACTCTTCCCCCAAGTTCATTGAACATCCTTATAACCAATGTTTTGAACTCTGCATCTAGTAGAGTGTTTGTCTCCATTTTGTTTAGTTCTTTTTCTGGAGTTTTGTTTCATTCTTTCATTTGGGACATGTTTATTTTTCTCCTCATTTTGACAGCCTCCCTGTATTTGTTTCTATATATTACATAGAGCTGCTATGTCTCCTAGGATTGGTAGAGTGGCCTAATGTAGTAGGTGTCCTGTAGGGCCCAGTGGCACAGCCTCCCCATCCACCTAAGCTGAGCAATCCAGGTGCAATCCCCTCTATATGAGCTATATACACCCACCTGTTGTCATTGAGTCTTGATTGCTGTTGGCACATCAATGAAAGGGACTTACCCACAGGCCAATCAGCTTCAAGGATTGGCTGTGACCACTGTGGAGGATCAGCTGTGCAGGGGCCACCCCACGGCAGGGCTCTGGTGCCTGAAGAGTCTTCCCCTTGAGTGTGTCACTTATGGAGGTGGTTGGGTGGTGGTTTGATGTGGTCTGAAACTATTCACCAGGTGAACTGGCTCTGGGGCCTCCCAGGAGGTGCAGGCCAAGGTCAGCCACTGCCTGTGTTCTGCCCAGAGCCACCCAGCATGAGCTACAAAGCAATCTTCAGATGGCTGCTATTTGTGCTGGACTTGGAAGGGCCCTGGAGACACCAAGCTGCAAACCAATGTCAGTGACCACTAGTTCCAGGCCTTCTGCCACTTAGCAAGAGGTACAGGGCATGCTGAAGCCTGATGCTGCTTGTTTTAGAGGTTTTGGGAAAGTCTGAAGCATGAGCCAAGATAGGGCATTCATATGGAAAAGCCACTGTAAACAGCTTGGGTGTGCCCACAAATGGTGGGAAAGGGTCTCAGGAAATCACCAGGGCAAGGCAAAGAGTGATAACCAGATTTATGGAGACTCATATATGGTGCCTACCTGCTGGCTTTATGGGAAATAACTCAGAAAAGTATCAATGGCCTTTGCCAGCATTTCTGTCTAAGAGAAAGCAGCCTCTCCAACTCTCACCCTGATGCCAGACGCTTCAATTCCTCCCCATATGTTCTTGGTATCTTTTGAGCTGCTGCCCCAGCTCTGGAGCTCAGAGCGAGTAAATCCATGCATGGGCCCTTTAGGAGGAACTGCCTGGGACTCTAGAAACCCTCTGTCTCACTCAGCCACAATTCCCACTGGTATTTACAACCAGAAGTTATAGGGACTTCTCTTCCTAGCACTGGAACCCTGGGCATAGGGGCCTGTTGTAGGGCTGGGACCCCTTGCTCCACAGGAGTAACCTCTGCAGCCAAAATATCCCTCCTGATTTTTATCTGTCACACGTGGGTGTGGTACCAGCCCACCCTATGTCTTCACTCCTCCTGCCAGTCTCACTGTGCCTTCTTTATATCTTTAGTTGTAGGACTTCCATTATGCTAGATTTCAGGCAGTTCTGAATGATGGTTGCTCTGTAATTTAGTTGTATTTTCAATGTGATTGTGGAAGGATTCAAGTATCCTGTTTACGCCTATCTTAACTGGAAATGTTGGAGAAGACCCCTAATTTCAGAACCTCAGTTCCCTCATCTGAATAATGGTCCCTCATGAGGTTATATGATGCTGTCATAAGATGACAATGTATAAGGCTCATAGCCCAGTGCCTAGCACCTCCTACACATTCAGTAAATGTGGCCTGTTTTTGTTGCTGTGCATATAATAATGGTAAGCTTACCTGGTGCTTTTCTTACCAGGTATTGAAACTCGAGTTGTTACAGACAATTGCTCCAAGGAAGGAAAGAACTTCAACTTGAACATCCAAATGAACTCACTGGACATCCATTGCAATGACATCATCCAAGGAAACATACCAGGTACATATGGTGGCTGAATTCAGAATCCCTAAGACACACACCCATATCACTGTGAGTTAGGAGAAAACGTCCCCACTAGGTTTCTACCTGATGGGTTTGTTACCCTAAAATTGTTTCAGTGGAGTCTTTTCCATTAAAAAAAAAAAAAAAAAGACATCTTCCCAAAGCAGAGGCATTTTCTTTTTCAGCATAAAAGATTACTTTGCAATTTGGGGGCTCTTCTGTCCATGCCTCAGTTTGGGTTTACCCAGAAGCACTTTCTAGGACAATTGTAAGGGGTTCCAGTGTAAGGAATTTATTTAGGAGGTGATCCCAAGAAGCAGCAGTAAGTGTATTAGTCAGAGTTCTACAAGAAATAGAAGCAATAGAATGTGTGTGTGGAGAGAAAGAGATGGGTGTCAAGGAATTGGCTTATGTAATTGTGGAGTCTAGCAAGTCTAAAATACAGCCAGGGAAGAACTGATGTTGAAGTTCAAGTCCAAAGACAGTCTGGAGACAGAATCCCCTCTTCCTCAGGGGAGGTTAGTCTTTTACTTAAGACCTTCAGCTGATTGGATAAGACCCATCCACATGATGGATGATAATCTGATTTACTCAAGCCTAACTATTTAAATGCTATTCTCAAGGTCCATTCATGCTGTTACAAATGGCAGTATTTCATCTTTTCTTATGGCTCAGTAGTTTTCCATTATACGTATGTACCACATCTTCTTTATCCATGGACGGGCCTTGAGAATATTAAGCTAAGTAAAACAAGTCAGTCAGAAAAAGCTAAGAACCATTTGATTTCACTCATATGTGGGATATAAAACTGAAACTCATAGACACAGACAACAGTATTTTGGTCACCTGAGGAAAGGAGGGTGGTGGGGGTATTGAAGGGTAAAAGGGGCCAAATATATGGTGACAGAAGGTGATCTGACTTTGGGTGGCAGGCACACAATGCAATAAAAGAAATGTACATTTCTTTTTGTATAATAGAAGTGTACATTTGAAACCTACATAATCTTATTAACCAATGTCACCCCAAAAAGTTTAATTGAAAAAATAAAATAGAGATTACTATAAAAATTCAAGCAAAGAATAAAAATTTTTACAGGATGCAAAAAAATAAATAAAAATGTTTTAGTATTTTTTTCTTCATTGATTTGAGAGAGTACAGGAGGGGACGAGAGATAGAAACATCAATGAGAGAGAACATCAATTGGTCACCTCCTGCATGCCCACCATTGCGGATTAGGCCCTGGGCATGTGCCCTGACCAGGAATTGAACCAATGACCTCTTGGTGTATGGGTCGATGCTCAACCAGTGAGCCACACTGGCTGGACAATAAATATTAATCTCATCTAATCTCATACCTTCATAGGCCCTGGCTTGTTTGGCTCAGCAGTTAGAGCATCAGCCCACGGACCAATGAGTCGTAGGTTCGATTCCAGTCAAGGGCAGGTACCTCAGTTGCAGTTCGTCCCCGGCTCTGGTCAGGTCATGCAGGAGGCAGCCAGTCGATGTGTCTCTATCACATTGATGTTTCTCTTTGTCTCTCTCTTTCTCTCTCTCCTTCCCTCCCACTCTCTCTGAAGATAAATAGAAAAATATCCTTGGGTGAGGAATAAAAAACAAAGAGAAAAAATACCTTCATACCAACATCCACACTGGTGTTTTACCAAATATCTGGGTACCATGTCCTTGCCATGCTGACACATAAAATTAACTACCCCAGTTGTGGAGAGGGGAAGTGAGGGAAGAAAAGGCAGCCAATACAGGTATTGTTATGTTAGTGAACAGGTTATTACTGGTGATAACTGGGGCTCAATCCCACTGAGTTATCCCACTCAAGGAGAAGGAGCTGAACCATTTATCCACCTGCTCTGATTCATCACTGGTTGAGGGCCCATCTAGGGAGTTAACTTCCACACCCTTCTAGTCTGCCCTGTAGGTAGACCAAACACATTCACTGGAGGAAGCTGCCAGGCAGAGTCTCAGCTGCGTCAGTAGAATACATTAGCATATAAAGAAACCAAGACTGCCAAGGAAATAAAGTCAGGGTGCCTCATACAAAGGAGTAGATTGTTATGATTAATTGTCCCAGAGTTACCGGACTCTCTGATTTTGGGGGGCGAGGTATAGAAATCAGCTTTATGTGTTTCACATTGTATGGTCACTTTTTTTTTCAATTACAGTTAACATTCAAGATTATATTAGTTTTGAGTGTACAGCATAGTGGTTAAACATTTATATAACTAACAAAGTGATCCTCCCTCCCCACCCCCCAATAATTCTAGTATTCAACTGACCATAAAGTTATTACAATATTATTGAATATATTCTTTATGCTGTACTTTACATCCCTGTGGCTATTTTATAAATGCCAACACTCTGACTTTTTTCCAAAGAGAAAACAAAAATGGGTTGTTTGCATGAAAATCTCCAATTTTTAAATTTGGCAAGAATATATTTACTATAATTGCCATATAGCTAAAACTTCTATAGCATGATAAATGGGGTCTTGAAATCCAATCATGTAAACATGGGTACAGTTGTCTGTACTATCCACCAAAAATCTCAAAATAAAGACAATAAAACACAGACAGCAAACCACATTCTGATCTGAGAAAATCTCATGCGACAATTAGTTCCTGTCACTTTCTCTCCTCCCTGAAAATAAGTACTTGAATCTGCCTCCATTTGCGAATGGACTGGGTGGAGAAGGGGAGCCAACTTCCAACCACATAACTTCACACTTGCATTGCCTTCAGATTCCTCTGTAACTCACAATTTGTAGAGTGTGCAACACTTCACAGGCAGGCTAACCAAATCACATCTTCAGTCCAGTTTGTTCCTTGGTCACATTCTGGAGTGCTGGGGGTTAGGATTTCAACATATGATCTCAGGAGAACACAACTCAGCCTGTAATAACTGTTTATGCTGAATTGTTTTAATAAATTACAGACATCACAGTGTTATTCCATGTGCTTTGAGGATCACCTGGTATAGACGTGCCCAGCAGCAGACTATTTATCATCTCCCCAGTGGGTCCTGTGATCTCACCTCCAAGCATTTACGTTGGCTGTTCTCTGCCAGGAATAACCACCATCACTTGGCAGGGTGAACTGGGACTCTTCTTTTAACACAGCTCATCTTGCACCCCACTTCCATCACAGCACCAGAGTCAGGCCCCCCCTCGTCTGTGCCTTCACAATTCAGCATCTTGAATCTACCTTGTAGCGGCATCTACCATGTTGTGTTGTATCTGTTGATTGACCTGGCCCTGTCTCCTTCACTGTAATGGGATCCCTTTCAGGGCTAGAATCATTAGTTCTGGAGAAAAATAACAAATGCTCATCTAATTAAATCCACATTTAGGCTGAAGCCTTAACATTACTAATGAGGAAAAGAACCCATTGATGGATGTGTGACAAGCTCATAGAGGGTCATTTCTCTGTCCTTCAGGTTCTGTCTAGATTCCCAATCTCAGCACTATTGACATGTGGGGCCCGGTCATCCTCTGGGGTGAGGGGCCTACAGTGTGCTGAACAGCATCCCTGGCCTTTACCCTCCGTGTGCCAATTGCAACCCCCTCCAGTTGTAACAACCAAAAATGCCCCCAGACATTACCCTGCATTCCTTGAAGGTGCAGAATCACCCTTGATTGAGAACTGCTGGTCTAGAATGACCTCATAATTTATTTTCAAACAGTGACAATTTTAAGATTGGAAGGGGGTGCTATTAAATTACACCAGGATACCAGGTGTGAACTAGGGCTTTGTAAGTAATTGGAAATGTGCTACACCCTCCCTCCCATTAACCATCTCACACAACAAACCCATAAGGCCATGGAGACCAACCTTGGAAACCTGTGCAGCCACTCTACTCTTTCCTGCTTGTGATTTACTCTTATGCCAGAATATTTCTGCTCAAAGCCAAGCAATTTCTATGCATAAGAAACAGCAGATATATCACCTGCTGAGGTTTCCCAACCACCTACTGATGTTTCATTCTGACAACAGAAATTTCCATTAACTTAGAAAAACTAAAGTTCCCTGGAGTGAGACCAAAGAAGCCTGATTAGAGAAACTGCACAGCTAGTAAGTAGCAAACCTGGGATTTGAATGCAGAAACCCTGTTCTTGCCCCTAGACTCTTAACTACTCATTGTATATGGCCTCTATACACATATATACACCTAGAAAAATTCCAGAACTCCAACAGTAATTATCTCAAAGTGATGAAATACTGTATGAATTTTATTTCATTTTTCTCTTTTTCATCAAAATTTTATTGTTTATTTTTACAACAAATAAATTGTAGTGTATCAAACAAGGTGACACTCTACAGTAACTGAAATAAATAAATCAAATGTACATGTATTGTTATGACTAAATCTTGAAAATATTAACTGGAGAGACAAAAGAAAGTTGCAAAAGGATAGTCAAAGTGTGATACTGTTTATGTGAAATTTTAAACACAGAAAACTAGACTATATATTGTATGGAAACATACATATATAGTAGAATTACAAAAGTAGTTATGGAAAGACTACACTTCAAGTTCATAGTTATTCTGGAGATAGAAGAAAGAAAATGAAACAGTGGGAGCTGTAGCCATATCCAAAACATTTTATTTCCTTAAAAAATAATTCTGAAGCCAATATGGCAAAATAATAATATATGTTAAATCTAGGTGTCAATGTCACTTATACTTTTCTGAGTGGTTGAAATATAAATTAAATTTTTAGGAAATAAAGGAGATGCTTGACACTGTGCTGGGAGTCCTGTGGTTTACAAATGAAGTTTCCTGCATAGCCACTCAAGAAACGTAGTGCCTATTGGAAAAACAGAGCTCAATCTATATGAAATGATCAGTAGACAGTTCAGTTCTTATTAGCATGACAGGGGCTGCCTCTAAAATACAAGTTCAGAGATAAAAGCATCTTAACACTTCTTGAGCCAGACACTGGGATTGAACTGATTTTTGAGGATGAATTTGGGGAGGAAGAGTGAACTTACTAGGCACACCTGAGCACAGGTTCGGCCATCATGGGAGCATGATATGTATGGGGCAGGAAGAGGGGCAGAAGGAACGGTGGTAGCACTTTATTTTTCTGTTTCCTCAGGTCCCCATGCAGTTGCCTTTATTTCATACTCTTCTCTTGGAAATATTATAAATGCAACTTTTTTTGGCGAGATAAATGAGAAAGATCGAGTTTACTTGAACTCCCAGGTAGTAAGTGTTGCTATTGGACCCAAAAGGATCATATCTCTCTCCAAGAAAGTGAATCTGAGTTTTCAGCATGTAAAGGTAGGTCAAAGCTCCCATTTGAGCTTGCTTGGGTTTCACAGAACAATTGGTGTAGCCTCACAGTCAGTGGTTCTGAACCTGTACTGTCCCATATGGTAGCCAGGAGCTACCTGTAGCTATTAAACATTTAAAATGTAGTGGGTTTCCAGAGACGTGGAAGTAGGGTACAGATTGACAATCCTCAGAAGAGGGGGTGGGGAGGAAGGGAAGAGATAAACCACAGAACTTATACGGGTGTACGCATAACCGATGGACACGAAAAACAAAGCTGGGGACGGGGTGAAGGGAATGGGGAGGAGGGTGTCAATGGGTAAAAAAAGGAGAAACATCTGTAACAAAAATAAATTAATTTTAAAAAAATGTAGTGGGTCTTACTATATTGGGTGATCCTAGAAAATAGGGACTTTGTTTTTGGCATTTATCACCCAAACTATAGTTCCTAAACCTTAGTTCCCCAATCTCTCACCCAACCTCACTAATGAATAATTAGTTTATAACAGAAACTGATTCTATTTATCAGAGTCTAGATCGGGGCAGGGGAGAAAGTAGCAGGTGAAAAGGGAAGAGGCAGTGAGAAATCAGTCACCTTCTTTCACCGTCCCTTTATTTGCCACTACGGCTTATCAATGGTCACCTCGATAATACCTCTAGTCCCAAGTGGCACATATTCTCCTATGAAGGGAAGATAAAAGAAATGGATCATGATGCTTGAACACAGAAATAAAAAGTAAAGAGAAAGGGTAAGTGAACACTGTGAGGGATGGTAAGTCCCACTTGGTCATGAGGTAACTTCCTAACTCTTGATCAGTATGTATATTAGAGATGCTAAGAGCAAGAAAAAATGCTCTATAGAAAAAAATATATGGTGGACGAAGTAGAGTTGAGAGAGCGTGGCAGAGAAGTAGAGTTGAGAGAGCGTGGCAGAGAAGAAATTAGGATAGAGTGAAAATTAAGGGGAAATTTGGAGAAATAACCAAGACTTTAAAAGAGATTTTTTAATTATAGAAAAATAATAGTTTGCAATTTGCTTTGCAATGTTAACCATTTACCCCAACATTCCACAAAAATCTTGAATAAAATTCCCATTTTTGTTTATGAAAATAATTAATTCGTTAAAATAAAATGTGGTAGGTCTGGATTGAGATTTCAAGGGCTTAGTATTTTGAAGACTTAGTATTTCTAGATTTCAAAATCTACTTAATGATTTTTATTGACATATTAAGAGAAAGAAACCTAGAGTAGCATCCTATAGAATTATGCTTAACCAGACATATGTGTGTTCTGTAGGAATGCAACATATTAGATATTCACAATATTTTTTAATTAAAATTTAAGTCTATTATGTAATAGGTTAAATCTATAACATAACAAAGACATTATTTTTAATATAGTGAATTAAGTGAAATATATCATTAAATTAATTTGACTTTTTTTTTACTTTTTTAATGTAGCTAGTAGAAATTTTCAAATTACATAGGTGGCTCACATGCTATTTTTCTTGGGCAGCATCATTCAGTACTTCCTACATCTGTGAAATTTGGACTGAGATATAATATTCATTTCTACGCAGAAGGCTGGTATTACGAAGACTATATAAATCAATCAGGAAAAAAAACTTATTTAATCCATTGTCTTTTCCCATTTTTTATCCAAACTCTTAAAGACAGGAGGGGCAATATCCAGACATAGATGTGGTAAAATTTGTTTGTTCCTTTCCCTTTCAGTTCTATTAAGAAAATAAAAATTGAAGAAAATCTTACCATTTGAGACAACATGAATGGACCGTGAGGGCATTATGCCAAGTGACATAAGTCAGACAAAGACAAATACCATATGACCTCACTCATATGTGGAATCTGAAAAATCCAGACTCATAGAAACAGAGAATAGATTGGTGGTTGCCAGGGCTAGGGGTGAGAGAAATAGGTGAAGGTGGCCAAAGGGTACAAACTCCCAGTTATAAAAAGAGTAAGTTCTGGGGGATCTAATGTACAGCATGGTGACTCTAGTTAATAATTATTGTGTTGTATATTTGAAAGTTGCTAAGAAAGTAGATTTTTAAAGTTCTCACCACAAGAATGCAGACTGGTGCAGCCACTATGAAAAACACTATGGAATTTCCTCAAAAAGTTAAAAATCAAACTGTCGTTCGACCCAGTGACCTCACTTCTAGGAATATATCTTAAGAAGCCTAAGAAAGAATGTATGTTCCAATTCATTGCTCAAAGTAGCCTGAAACACGTCATATTCCTCATGCCCCTGGCCTCAGAGAGGGTATAAGAGAATAAAATTTCATCTCAGCAGGCAGGAAAGCAATTTTCTGAGCCAAGATAGCTGGACAAATACATGGCAGGACAGATGGAGAGAGAGAAGGCAGGGAAGCACATGGCAGTGCCCAGGGTGAGAATGATGGGAGAGCAGAGGGCTGCTGTATGACAGGGACATTCAGTGCTCACCATATTATCCACGCACTTTCTCCCATCCCCCTGGAGTTAAGTTGGGGCAATTTTACCAGCTGGCCGATGGGACATGGGCTGAAATGAGACACGCTGCTTTTGGATCTGGACCTGAAGCCCTTGAAAGACCTGAAGCCCTCTTTTTGTCTGATTCCCATGGTAGAGGATAAAATTATAAAACCAATGACATCTTGTAAAAATCCAGGGTCCCACAAAGACAGATGACCTTGTTTTATGTTTTGTAAAATCCCAATAGAGATGGGGCTAGGGGGGCAGGTGTCCTGGTGGCCATCCTCTTAACTTAAAATAGAAATCACCTGAGTCACTCTCAGCCTTGGTTCTCATTCTCCACCCTGGCATAGACTGACACTCAAGAGTTGTTCCTCCTGAGCAAGAAAACAATGAGCCCATTCTATTTTCAGATGAAGCCCCTGAGCAAAACGGTCTTCTGTGTCTTCTGGGAAAGCACAGAGAAAGACGGCCACTGGTCCAGTGATGGCTGTTCCCTGGTACAGTTGAACGAGAGTCACACCATATGTGAATGCACTCATTTGTCCAGTTTTGCTGTTCTTATGGCCTCTGCCACCCAGGTATGATATAAACATTTAATTCCTCTAGCTAATCCATTTTGAGCCCCTACCAGGTGGTGATAAGTGCTGTAAAGAAAATGAAAACGAGCAAGGGACCAGAGTGACTGGAGAGGCATGCCACTTTAGGTAGAATAGTCAGAGAAAGATTAAATATGCAAGCTGAAATTTGATTCTTATGAATAAGTAGTACAACAGTGTGGATAAACCTTGAAAACATCATGCTGAATGAGAGAAACCAGATACAAAGGACCAGATATTGCATGATTCACTTACATGAAATGTCCAGCATAGGCAAATTATAGTGACAGAAAGCAAATTGGTGGTTGCCAGAGGCTGTGGGCAGGAACGAATGGGGGTAACTGCTTTATGGGTATGAGGTTTTATTTTGAGGATAATGAAAATATTTTGGAACTACACGGAGGTAGTGGTTGCGCAACACTTAATGTGCTAAATGCCACTGAACTGTACACTATAAAATGGTTATTTTATATTGGATTTTACCTCAATGAAAAAAAAATCCAGTAGGAAAGGGTCTCAGGAAGAGCATCTGAAGAAGACATATAAGTATGTATAAAAACCCTGAAGAGAGAACAAATTTGGTGTGTTCCAGAGAGAAGTGTGACTGAAGAAGAGTGAATGAGAGGAGTTAGGAGTGGGCAAGGTTGGAGAGATGGAAGTGGGAGAAATGGGCCAGACCTTGAATGTCATATCAGGAATTTAGATTTCATTCAAATTGCAATGGGAAGGCAATGGAGGGTTTTCATAAGGGCTGCTGCATATTTACATCATTAGAAGATCACTCTGGTTCTCAGGTTAAGAATGAACAGTGCAGACTTCCAGTCATGATGGTGGTGTAGGTAAATGTGGTACCATCTCCTCCCACAACTACATCAAAATTACAACTAAACTACAGAACAATCATCATTCAGAACCACCTGAAATCGAGCTGAATAGAAGTCCTATAACTAGGAAATTAAAGAAACAGCCGCATCAAGACTGGTAGGAGGGGCAGAGATGTGGATGGGCTCGTCCCACACACATGTGTGGCAGATAAAAATCAGAAGGATTACCTCAGCTGGGAAGGTCTTCCTTGAGGAGTGAGGGGTCCCTATCACACACCAGCAGCCCAGCTCAGGGTTCCAGTGCCAGGAAGAGAAGTCCCCATAACTTCTGGCTGTAAAAACCAGCAGGAGCCCTGGCTGGTTTGGCTCAGCGGTTGGAGCGTCGGCCTGCGGTACAGAGAGACCCGGGTTCGGTTCCCGCTAAGGGCATGTACCTCGGTTGCAGTTTGTCCCCGGCCCTGGTTGGTCGTGCAGGTGGCGGCCACTCGATGTGTCCCTTCACGTCGATGTTTCTCTCTCTCTCTCTCTCCCTCCCGCTCTATCTGAACAAAAAATGGAAAAAATGTCCTCAGGTGAGGATAAAAAAAAAACCAGCAGGAACTGAGGCTGAGGGAGGCTGAGGCTGCTGAAGCCATAGGCAGTTCCCCCCTTTTTTTTTAATAGATTTTTTTAGAGGGAGAGAGAGATAGAAACATCGATGAGAGAGAACATCAATTGGCTGCCTCCTGCATGCCCTTCACTGGAGATTGGACCCACACCCTGGCCTTGTGCCCTGACCAGGAATCAAATTGGTGACCTCTTGGTGCGTGGGTCGACACTCAACCACTGAACCACACTGGCTAGGCTGCAGGCAGTTTCTCTCAAAGGGCCCCACACTCCAACTTACTCAGACTTACACCCTCCAGGCTCCATCATGGGGGAAGCAGCTTGAAACACACCAGAGACACACTGGGAAGAACTGAGTTGTTTGGCATTGGGGCAAGTGCTAGAAGGGCAGCTTTCTCTTCAACAGACAGACTGTCAGAGGCCATTAATCCTATGGTAAGCCCTTCCTCTGGGCTGCAGATGGCCGCCATGTCTGGGACACCAGCAACCTGGCTTATACTGTTGCCATGCCCTGGTGATACCCTCAGGCCCTGCCCCACAAAACTTTGGGCCCACCCAAGCTGTTTCCAGTGGCTTTACTATGGGATTGACCTGTCTTGGATCCTGCTTCAGAGTTTCCTAAAATCTCTCAAACAAGCAGCATCTGATCTCAGTGAGCCCCTTACCTCTTATGAAGTGGCCCCAGGCCTGGCACTAGAAGCAGCCAGCCTGGATTCAAAACTTGGCTTTTCCTGGGCAACTCCATGTCCAGCACAAGAAGAAGCCATCTGCTGACCACTTTGTAGCTTATGCCAGGTGGCCCCAGGAAGAATACAGGCAATGGCTGGCCTTGCCTTAGACCCAGCACACCCAGTGGACAGCTTCAGACCACATCGAAGCACCACCACCCAACCACCTCCACAAGTGACACACTCAATGAGTGGACTCAGTGTGTACCAGGACCCTGATGAAGTAAGTCTTGCTCTGTGTGGTGGGTCCCTACACAGCTGATCCTCCAAGGTAGTCAAAGGTCAGTGGTCAGTGGGCAGAGTGAGTCCTTATAGCTGATCAGCCTGAGTAAATCCCTCCCATTGATGTTCCAACAGCAATCAAGACCAAATTACAACAGAAGGGTGCACAGTCCACACAAAGGGTATACCTCAAGTGCCCAGCTGGGGTGATCAGGGAGACTATGCCACTGGATCCTACAGGATACCTACAATAATAGGCCACCCTATGAAGCCTAGGAGACATAGCAACACTACCTAATACATAGAAACAAACATAGGGAAGCAGCCAAAATGAGGAGACAAAGTAATGTGTCCCAAATGAATGAAAAGAACAAAACTCCAGGAAAAGAACTAAACAAAATGGAGATAAGCAGTCAATCAGATGCAGAGTTCAAAACACTGGTTATAAGGATGCTCAAGGAACTTAAGGACAACTCCAAGAAACTTAGTGAGAATATCAACAACATAAAAAAAGGACCAGTCAGAAATGAAGAATACACTAACTGAAATAAAGAATAATTTACAGAGGATCAATAGTAGAGTAGGTAAAGCCAAGCAGCAAACCATCAATTTGGAATAGGAAGCAAAAACACCCAATCAGAACAGCAAAAAAAAAAAGAATCCAAAAAACTGAGGATAATGTAAGGAGACTCTGGGACAACTACAAGTGTGCCAACATTCGCATCTTGGGGGTGCCAGAAGGAGAAGAGAGAGCAAGAAATTGAAAAACTATTTGAAATAATAATGACAGAAAACTTCCCTAACTTGGTGAAAGAGACAGACATACAAGTCCAGGAAGCACAGAGAGTCTCAAACAAGTTGAACCCAAAGAGGTCCACACCAAGACACATCATCATCAAAATGCCAAAGGTTCAAGACAAAGAGAGAATCTTATAAGCAACAAGAGAAAAGCAGTCCATTACCTACAAAGGAGCTCCCATAAGACTGTCAGCTGATTTCTCAAAAGAAATTTTGCAGGCCAGAAATGAGTGGCAAGGGATATTCAAGGTGATGAAAAGCAACGGCCTACAACCAAGAATACTCTATCCTGCAAAGTTATCATTTAGAATTAATGGACATATCAAGAGTTTCCCAGACAAAGAAAAGCTGAAGGAGTTCATCACCACCAAACCAGTATTATATGAAATGTTGAAGGGTCTTCTTGAAGGTGAAGAACAAAATATGAACAATAAAATGGCAATTAATACATATCTATCAACAATTGAATCTACAAACAAAATGAGCAAGCAGACCAGAAACAGACTGATAGATACAGAGAACTCTTTGTAGCTTGTCAGATGAATGAGGGCTGGGGGGATGGGTGAAAAATATGAAGGAATTTAGAAGTACAGATATGTTGTTAGACTGATGAACCTCAAAGGGAAGTGGGGAGGGAGGGCAGGAAGAGATAAACCAAAGAACTTCTATGCATTTATGCATAACCAATGGACATAGACAATAATGTGGGGAAGGCAGGAGGGGGACAGGATTGGGGAGGAGGGGGTCAATGAGGGGAATACAGGGGGACATCTGTAATACACTCAACAATAAAGGTAAGTTAAAAAAATTTTTAAAAGAATGAACAGTGGTCAAGGGTAGAGTCACAGAAAGATGATGGTGGTTGGGGTTCAGGTGGCAGCAGTGAAGGTGGTGGGAGGAGATCAGACTGAACATACATCCTAGAAGTGGTAGTGGAGAACTTACTGATGACATAGGCTGCGTGACAGCACATAGAAAGTCCTGCATCCATCTACTCTTCTCAGGGGTGGACGTGGTACCCAAGAATAACACTTGGTGGAAATCTCTGATCTCTCCTATTACAGAGGCAGTGGGGAAGGTGAAATAGGTTTAAAGACATAAAATACTTCTTTTATTCATTGTTACATTTATGAAATTCATCTATGAGTTGAACATAGCCTTAGTTTATTCATTTTCATTGATGTATAATATTCCCTTGCATGACTAAACTATAATTTAGTTATTCATTCTACAGTTAATGAGTATCTAGTTTGTTTCCTGTCAGGGGCTATTAAAAGCAATGCTACCTTTCTGGGATAAAGCATAGACAGTTCTACATGGGACCCTCCAGGGTGAAGAGGAAGCAACATACTCCAGATGGTGCAGCTACAAGATGGTAGAGTCTCTATTACCATGGTTTTCTAAGTGACTTTGTGGCACAGAGTACTGTTCCATCTATATAAAGTTGAAAAACAGACACAACTAAATTATAGTCTCAGGGTTTGAATACATAGGTGGTACATTTTACCATAAAAGGATCATAGGTACCTCTAGGGGAGAAGGTGGTTTGCAATTAGGAAGAGCTTCTGGGATAATGTCCACAGGCTAGTTCATGATCAGTATTTTTTTAATAATTATTAATCATATGATAAATTGACTTTTATGCTTTCTTCTGTATATGTGTTACACTTCACAATTTTAAGGTTAAAAAAGCAGAGGATTAAAAAGTTCTATAAGAGTTCTATAGCCCTAGCTGGTTTTGCTCAGCAGGTAGAGAGTTGGCCTGCAGTCCAGAGAGACCCGGGTTTGGTGCCCACTAAGGGCACGGCCCTGGTTGGGTTGTGTGGGTGACAACCACTCAATGTGTCCCTTTCACATCAATGTTTCTCTCTCTCTCCCTCTCACTCTATCTGAACAAAAAATGGAAAAATGTTCTTGGGTGAGGATTTTTTAAAAAAAAGAGTTCTATAAGGGATGGTGAGTATCATTTCCCATTAGTGAGTCTGGCTAAGTTTGTGGGCTCATCAGATCCCTGGCCCCTGTCTTTAATGAGATGAGTGCCCAAGAGCTGCATTAGATAGAGTATCATAGTTTGGGGCCCCCCACCAGAAGATCCTGAGATAAGAATTTGAGAGCCCTGGCCAGTTTAGCTAAGTGGTTAGAGCATCAGCTCTTGGACCAAATAATTGCAGGTTCAATTCCCAGACAAGGGCATATACCTTGGTTGCAGGTTTGATCCCCCAACCCTGGTCAGGGTTGTACAGGAGGCAACCAATCAATATGTCTCTCTCACATCAATCTTTCTCTCTCTCTCTCTTTGTTCCTCCATTTCTCCCTCCCATCCTCCCACTCTTTCTGAAAATCAATGGAAAAATATCCTCAGGTGAGGATTTTAAAAAAAAGTATTTGAGGGAAAGTAGTTTTTCTTGGAGGTAAGCCCAGGAAACATCAGTGTGACAGTAAGAAGTGAGACAGAGAAAAGAAGGCAGCCAGGAAAGAATGCATCAAAGAGAAAGTTACCCCCATGGACAACTGGGGCTCAATCCCATTGGGTACTTCTGGAAGATATCAGATCCTTCCCACAAGAGGTGGAATGAGCTGAGGTATTATCTACCAATTCCCCAACTGTTATTATTTGAGGGCAGCTTCCAGGAGCATTAACACCCTGGCACTTGTGACTTGCTCTGGTGTGTCCAAGCATGCTCTCGTGGCAGCAGTCACGGGGATTCACAGAAAGCAGCCAGAGGACAGGTACAGGTGTGTGTGAAGAGATTAATAGTCTCTGCTACACAGGGCTTCCTGTGTCTCTTTGGGTGCAGCCTGAGTCTGGCATACCCATTCATTTCAACTTGAATTCTGCTGTATAGAGCCTATTAACATTAGGAGGTTAATAATTTCCAAAGAGGGAAATTGTTGTGTCCTTACCACAAATAAAGACAAAACAAAGGACACAAGAAATCTTTTGAAGGTACTGATGTGTTTATTACCTTGATTGTGGATATATTAGCATAATATATGCCTATATTCAAACTCTTTTAAATGTACATACTAAATATGTATACTATTTTGTATATTAGGTATACCTCAATAAAGCTGTGGAAAAAAGACAGTCTTATAGACACCTCTCATACTTTCATTTGGCTTTGTGCCTGTTTACAATGTGCTGTTCCAAGGGAAGACGGGGGAGCCATAATCCCAGAGCAGGAATGTGTGTCTGATATCTCCTGTTTGCTGGGTCCCAGGAGGAGGATCCCGCCCTGGCTGTGATCACCTACGTGGGGCTGAGCCTCTCTCTGCTGTGCCTCTTCCTGGCAGCCCTCACCTTCCTGCTGTGCAAAGCCATCCAGAACACCAGCACCTCACTGCACCTGCAGCTCTCGCTCTGCCTCTTCCTGGCCCACCTGCTCTTCCTCACGGCCATTGACAGAACAGAGAATAAGGTACTGACACTGCCCCAAATGACCCCTGTCCCACTAGGGAATGTGGAGTTCATGGGGCCATGCTACATTGGACACCTTAATAAAATAGCTTTGGTTTCTAGGAGAGATTGGTGAGGAGGTGGTACAGTGAATAGTGCTGACATTGATTACAAAACATCTTTACTTTTTTTTCTTTATTCATTTTAGAGAGAGAGGAAGGGGAGGGAGAGAAAGATAGAAACATCAATAAGAGAACATCGATTGGCCACCTCCTTCATGCCCCAGCTGGGGATGGGGCCCACAACCTGGCATGTGCCCTGAATCAAACGGGTAACCTCTTGGTGCATGGGTTGATGCTCAACCACTGAGCCACACCAATTTCATCTCTGCCCATTTTTTTAAATTTATTTATTTATTTTTGTTATAGATGTTTCTCCTTTTTCTCCCAATGATTTCCCCCTCCCCCTCCTACCCCGCCCTTTGTTGTCCATGTCCATTGTTCATGCATACATGCATATAAGTTCTATGGTTTATCTCTCCCCCACTATCCCCTCTCCTGGGGATTGTCAGTCTGTACCACACTTCCACGTCTCTGGGACTACCCCATTCCTCAGACTGTTATGTTCATTATATTCCACAAATAAGTGAGATCATATGATACTTGTCTTTCTCTGTTTGGCTTGTTTCGCTTAGGATAATACTTTCCAGGTCCCTCCATATCATCTCAAAGAATAAGAGATCTTTCTTTCTTACAGCTGCATAGTATTTTATTGTGTATATGTATCACACTTTTTTATCCATTCGTCTACTGGTGGACATTTGGGCTGTTTCCAGATCTTAGCTATTGTAAATAATGCTGCTACGAACATGGGGGTACATATATTCTTTCTGATTGGTGTTTCAAGCTTCTTAGAATATATTACTAGAAGTGAGATCACTGGGTCAAATGGAAGTTCAATTTTTAATTTTTTGAGGTAACACCATATTGTTTTCCATAGTGGCTGCACCAGTCTGCATTCCCACCAGCAATGTACTAGAGTCCTCTTTTCTCCACACCCTCACCAATACTTGTTGTTTGCTGATTTGTTGATGGTGGCCATTCTGACAGGTGTGAGGTGATACCTCATTGTTGTTTTAATTTGCATCTCTCTGATGATTAGTGATGATGAGCATTTCTTCATATGTCTCTTAGCCATTTGTATGTCCTGTTTGAAGAGGTGTCTATTTAGTTCCTCGGCCCATTTTTTAATTGGATTCTTTGTCTTCCTTTTGTTGAGTTGTATGAGTAATGTATATATTTTGGAAAATAACCCCTTATCTGATATATCATTGGCAATTATGCTCTCCCATATACTGGGTTCCCCTTTCTGTTTGATGCTTGTTTTCTATGCTGTGCAGAAGCTTTTTAGTTTGATGTACTCCCGTGTGTTCATTTTTTTTCTCTTTCTCTTGCCTTAGGCATGTATCAGTGAAAATTCTGCTAAGTGTGATGTCTGAAATTTTGTTGCCTACATTTTCTTCTAGGATTTTTATGGATTCACGAGTTACATTTAAGTCTTTTATCCATTTTGAGTTTATTCTCATGTATGGTGTAAGTTGGTGTTCTAGATTCATTTTTTTTGCATGTAGCTGTCCAATATTCCCAACACCATTTATTAAAAAGGCTGTCTTTACTCCACTGTATGCTCTTGCCACCTTTGTCAAATGTTAATTGAGCATATTGTCTTTGGTTCATTTCTGGGTTCTCTGTTCTGTTCCATTGAGCTATCTGCCTGTTCTTGTGCCAGTACCAGGCTGTTTTGATTACAGTGGCTTTGTAGTATAACCTGATATCTGGTAATGTGATCTCTCCAACTTTGTTCTTGTTTCTCAAGATTTCTGTGGCTATTTGGGGTCTTTTTTGGTTCCATATAAACCTTTGGAGTGTTTGTTCTAGTTCTGAAATATTTTATTGGCATTTTGATGGGGATTGCATTGAATCTATAGATTGCTTTGGGTAGTATGGACATTTTAATGATGTTAATTCTTCCAATCTATGAACAAGGTATATGCTTCCACTTTTTTATATCTTCCTCTATTTCTCTTTTCAATGACCTGTAGTTTTCTGTGAAGAGGTCCTTTACTTCTTTGGTTAAATTTATTCCTAGGTATCTTAATTTTTTTGCTGTGATGGTAAATGAGATTCTCTTTTTAGTTTCTCTTTCTGTGAGTTCATCATTTGTTTATAAGAATGCTGTTGATTTCTTGACATTAATTTTGTATCCTGCTACTTTGCCAAATTTATTTATTGAATCTAGTAAATATTTTATGGAATCTTTAGGGTTTTCTATGTACAGTATCATGTCATCTGCAAATAATGACAGTTTCACTTCCTCCTTTCCAATTGGATCCCTTTTACAAACACTGTTACTTTTGATGACCTTGGTCTAATGTCAGATGCTCTGAAGTCATTGCCAGTATAAAGGAGAGGCCCTCAGTTCACACCCCACCTTATGTACCCCACTGGGTGACTCTTACTCCTCCCCCAGGTGCTGTGCGCCATCATCGCTGGTGCCTTACACTATCTCTACTTGGCCGCCTTCACCTGGATGCTGCTGGAGGGTCTGCATCTCTTCCTCACTGCACGCAATCTGACTGTGGTGAACTACTCCAGTGTGAACAGACTCATGAAGTGGCTCATGTTCCCAGTTGGCTATGGAGTCCCAGCTGTAATTGTGGTCATTTCTGCAGCATCCAGGCCTCACCTTTATGGAACACCTGATCGGTGAGCTTGACCCTCACCCTGTGCATGGACGGTCTACAGGGCAGCATTAATGATGGTGATTAAGATATCCACAGCAATGCGTTCTTCTTTTTCCTTGAGTGTAAGAGCTCTGACCTTTTAACTAATGTAGGAAAAAATGGCAGTAAGAGCTTAGAAGGTTCTGAGAGGAGGGAGTTTTGTGGTTAGATGCCAGCTTTATCCCTCCCATAATTTGAAGTTTTCAGGTCTCAGATTCCTCTTTAGCAAAATGGAAATAATTATCCTCATTGTCCCACCATCATGAAGATGGTATGAAAATTCAACAGGACTGCCCTGGCCAGTTTGGCTCAGCAGTTAGAGTGTTGGCCTGCAGACCAATGAGTCGCATGTTTGATTCCAGGCAAGTGCACATACCTCGGTTGTGGTTCATTCCTGGCCCTGATCAGGTCATGCAAGAGGCAACCAGTCAATGTGGCTCTATCACATTGGTGTTTCTCTCTCTCTCTCTCTCTCTCTCTCTCTCTCTCTCTCTCTCTCTCTCTCCCCCCCCCCCTCCTTCCCACTCTATGTGATGATAAATAGAAAAGTATCCTCAGGTGAGGAATAAAAAAAAAATTCAACAGGACTGTGCTTATAAAATGTTTGATGTAGCATTAGCACATGGTAGTGAACAATCAAAACCTTTATTGCCATCAGTTGACATTTTCAGACAATGCTGGAAAAGTTCTCTGTTAGGAAAGGTGTCACTTTATGTTTGTTTTATGTGCTTTCTCTGATCTCTTTTTGTGTCCCTTTTCCCATTTTTACCAGCTGCTGGTTACACCTGAAACAAGGATTCATCTGGGGTTTCCTTGGTCCTGTCTGTGCCATTATTTGTGTGAGTAAGATGCTCCAGTGGTCCTGACCAAAGAAGCACCAGAAGTGCTGAGTGCAAGACAGAACAAGGGGCATGCATTTTCTCTATTGTATGGTTTGATTTTTCCACCCACTGTCAATTCAGTCCCATGTGCAGTAAAGTAAGAGTTGTGTGCAATGTATAATGGACACAGTGTATTATTTTAACTTGCATTCTTCCTGGTCTGTGTCAATCCTGCAGGTGAATTTTGTATTTTTTCTCTCAGTCCTTTGGATTTTGGAAAGGAAATTCTCCTCCCTCAACAGCGAAGTGTCAACCATCCAGAATACAAGGTAACGTGGAGCAATGCTACTTCTGACCCTCTGTTCCTCTCCTTGCCCCCTTCTTGCCCTTCCTATCCATCTATTCCCCACAACCAGGCTCCAGGGATTAGCAAGCCCACTATCATCTCTCAATGTTTGTGTTAGCTAGAGTATAAGCTAGGCTGCTGAGACAGAAATACTGGCCCAAGAAAAGAGTAAAGTAGAAGTTTATGTTACTCTCATGTCACAGTCCAGAGGTGAGTAGTCCAGGGCTAGTAGGGAAGTTTTGTTCTACAAAGTGATCCAGAGATGCAGGTTTTTTCTACTTTGTGTCTCCACCATTCCCTAAGATGTTGTCTTTGTCAGTTTCCCATCCATGGGATGGAAATGACATGGAAGTTGCATGGTCCACATTTACTCATATTGTATTGGCTAGACCTAGACCTTAGTCACATGGTGACACCTAGCTTCAAAGGAGGCTGAAAAATATAGTCTGTATCTAGGTCTAGCCAGGTGTCCTTGAAAAAATTCAAAGAGGGAAAGCATCTAACCCTAAAAGGAAGGAGAAGAGAATGAACAAAAATAACAGTTGCTGCCACACAACACAAGACATACACAAGTGTACTCTTTTATCAAAATCAACCAACTTAAGTTTTTTAATCCATCAGTTACTAGGGGAAAAAAAGAAAGAAAGAAAAAAGGAAGCTTAAATTCTATAGTAACTCTAACAGTTGTGCTTCTGAAAGATGAAAAAAAAAAAAAAAAAGAACTAGGTTCATCCCACCAGTAAAGACCAATTTGGCTAATTACAACAAATTTAAATGTATATCTAAAACTTTTGTGTAATGGATTTGGAAAGGATTTATATTAAAATATATTTTGTATAATACTAGTTCAATAAATTGGGAGCTACGAGCAGTTTTTTTATTTTGCAGCATCAATTTTATTGAAACACATAATTTGTTGTTTTTATTTTAATCACAAAAATAGCACGTTCAATTTTTTCTGATTTTTTTCAAAATATGTAAAGTAAAAATGGTTAACTCCCCCCTTTTCTGCTACTTTCACTTCCCAAGAAAGCTGGAGTTAACAAACTTTATGATAAGTATGATATAATGTGTGATTTTTCCCCAGACCTTTTTCTATACATTTCTATAGAATAGACAGGCACACATATCTTATTGGCTAGAATAGACAGCCAACACACTACACAAATCATTACTCAACCAGCTTTTCTCACATAAACATTATGGTTTAAAATTAGGGATAAATATATATATATATTGTAGATATAAAATTAGGGATAAATATGTGTATTGTAGATATATAGTGACCTCACATCTGTTTGCCAGGGAGTCCTAGTTTATGCCTGTTAACTCATTGTAATTATTAATAGGGACCTTTTTATCCCAAAAGCCTCCTTGTTTGAATAACAAATTATATGACCCTCCATATATAAAAGAAAAAGAGAGAAAGAGCCCCTAGTTTTAGAATGCTTTATGCATATATGGTACTCATTTTGTGTTATATACTGTCCTAAAAAATATGTAAGAGACTCATTTGATCTTTCTAGGAGCCCTGTGAAATAGGGCTATTATAAAGATGAGAGACCTGAGTTACAGAAAGGCAAAGTAACTTGCCCAATGTCACACAGTTGATTAGTGCTAACTTGGATTTAAGCCAAGGTAGTCTAGCTCCAGAGTCCTCACCATTAACAACTACACTATAGGGGTGTCCATAGCCATTAGCTTTTATACATTTTCATTTTTTACTGCCCTCAGAATACTGACACTGAAAGCAATAGCTCAGGTCATCATCCTGGGCTGCACGTGGTGTATGGGCATCTTCCAGGTGGGCCCAGCTGCGTGGGTCATGGCCTATCTCTTCACCATCATCAATAGCCTTCAGGGTGTCTTCATTTTCCTGGTCTACTGCCTCCTCAGCCAGCAGGTAAACATTTACACCTTTCTTTATTGTTTTAAAGTTAAGAAAGATTTGCAGGTATGTAGTTTAACAACTACTTAGATTCACGTTCTCTAAATTTTCATATGAACTTCTGAGTAGTGTGTAAATATTACCTATATTTTCTCTACTTCAAGATGCTATTGCCCTGGCCGGTTTGGCTCAGCGGTTAGAGCATCGGCCTGCGGTCCGGAGAGACCCGGGTTCGGTTCCCGCTAAGGGCACGTACCTCAGTTGCAGTTTGTCCCCGGCCCCGGTTGGTCGTGCGGGTGGCAGCCACTCGATGTGTCCCTTTCACGTCGATGTTTCTCTCTCTCTCTCTTCCTCTCTCTCCCTCCCACTCTATCTGAACAAAAAATGGAAAAAATGTCCTCGGGTGAAGATAAAAAAAATAAAAAAAAAAGATGCTATTGATTGTGAGATATATCAATATATTAATGGCTTACACAAAATAAATAATTACTACATCAAAGAAATACTATTTTTTTCTTCAGCTTTCCCATTTGTAATAGCTATTTCTGTGTATCGAACAACCTCAGAAATCTCAGTTCCATTCTCAAGTCTGCAAGTTGGTTGGAGTTCAGATTATCTTGGCTGGGCTTACCTTGGTTAGGCTATACAATGCAGGTATATTCAAGTCTGTTCTTGGTGACTCATTGTGTGGCTTGAAAGAAAAGGAAGCAGTTTCCCAAAATAAGTTCTTCTGTGACAGTGGCAAAATCACAAGAATAAAGCCCTATTGGGCAAGGCCATTTCAAGCCTGGTGATTCTGCTTGCATTGCCTCCACTGATATTCAAATGGCAAAAGAAAGTCATATGTCACAAATGGCTAAGAGACATATGAAGAAATGCTCATCATCACTAATCATCAGAGAGATGCAAATTAAAACAACAATGAGGTATCACCTCACACCTGTCAGAATGGCCACCATCAACAAATCAGCAAACAACAAGTGTTGGCAAGGGTGTGGAGAAAAGGGGACTCTAGTACACTGCTGGTGGGAATGCAGACTGGTGCAGCCACTATGGAAAACAATATGGTGTTACCTCAAACAATTAAAAATTGAACTGCCATTTGACCCAGTGATCCCACTTCTAGGAATATACCCTATGAAGCCTGAAACACCAATCAGAAAAAATGTATGTACCTCCATGTTTGTAGCAGCACTATTTACAATAGCTAAGATCTGGAAACAGCCCAAGTGTCCATCAGTAGACGAATGGATAAAAAAGCAGTGGTACATATACACAATGGAGTACTACGCAGCTGTAAGAAAGAAAGATCTCTTATCCTTTGAGGCTACATGGAGGGACCTGGAAAGTATCATCCTAAGTGAAATAAGCCAAACAGAAAAAGACAAGTATGATCTCACTTATTTGTAGAATATAATGAACATAACAGTCTGAGGAATGGGGTAGTCCCAGAGACGTGGAAGTGGGGTACAGACTGACAATTCCCAGAAGAGGGGGTGGGGGGAGAGATAAACCACAGAACTTATATGCATGTATGCATGAACAGCGGACATGGACAACAAACTGGGGACAGGGCAGGGAGGGAGGGGGAAGGGGGAATCAGTGGGGGGAAAAGGAGAAACATCTGTAACAAAAATTAATTAATAAAAAAAAAAGAAAGTAAAAAAAAAAGAAAGAAAGAAAGTTAGGGAAGGGACTGATACCACTCTGAATATACCTTTTAAATAGTTTGACTTTCAAACTCTGTTAATGTTTTATATACTCAAAAAATAGAATTGATTTACAAGACCCAGGGGGAGGAGGGAATTTTTAAAAAACAGAGATAAATGAACCTAAATATATAGCGAGAGGGTGAAATTGATCACACATAAGGAAATAAAATATTAATGCAAGTTTTTTTAACACACACACCAAAAAAAAGAAAGTCATATGTCTAAGCCCAAAGTCACAGGAGAAGACCCCACCCACCCACCATGAGGCTAAGACAGGGTGTAATACTATTTCAGGGGAATGAATTAAGATCATGCAACTTACCACACTACTTAAACACATGAATTATTAAACACATTTCCATATAGTAGTATAATCTCCATACTAAGGTTTTAATGGTTCTATAGTGACATTACATAATAAGCTAATTTTTTCAACATCCTATTATGAACATTTTCAAACATACAAAAAGGTTGAAAGAATTATACAGAAAACATATACAGTAAGTCCTCACTTAACATTGTTAATAAGTTCTGCAACTTTAAGCAAAATGATGTAGAACAAAGCCAATTTTATTGGCTAATTGATATAAGTAAGAATTAAGTTTCTAAAGCATCTTATTATAACAAAATGACATTGAATGAAATAATATTCAAGGACCTGCTGTATACCAATCACCTAGATTAATGTTGTGCTATACTTTATTACATTATCTATCCACATATCCATTCTTCTATCCATCCATTTATCCATCTCTGTATAAGCCACTGTAGCTTACATGATAGTCAAAGAAAACAGTAGGCCACTCTTCTCGGTGGGTGTACACACACCTGAGTGAACACAATGCAAAAGACTTATATGTACTCTTCCCTCAGTTCATTTCAGTTCCTGAGGCATCTCACAGAGTGAGCTTCCAGTTTTTCAAGATACATATTTTATATTCAGTATGATTACTAAATACAAGCCAATTCATGTATCTGCAGCTAAACAAAAGAAACAGTAGTGTGTGTCCAACACTCAGGAAATACTGGCTGCTTTGGGCTTGTGGAGATAAGCCTCTAAAATGTTACCTTCCTAAGGGGTACTCAGAGATAACTTAGACTGTACATTGTCTCTAGAATTGAACTCCAGATATGATGAAACCCTACTGTATACTATCGAACTATGATGACATATTTCTACCTAGATTGGTTAAATTATACTACACCTATAGAATAAGATACTATGCAACCATGAAAATACAATGTTGTAAAAAATTGAAACCTCAATGAAGCTGGGATCCACATGGTCCAGGTCAGCAGGGACAATGGCCAAATACATAGTCCAGCAGCCAGAAGAAATACAAAATAACTCAGGGTCTTTATTTGTACTTCCCAAATACCATAAAGAACACACATAGTCCAGGTATCTCTTTGTTGAGTTCAACTTCTAAGATTTTGAGATTGTCACTGCAGTAAAACATGTCCTGACTGACACACACTCTTTCCTGTTACTAGTCTTCCTCCTCCTCCTCCTCCTCCTCCTCCTCCTCCTCCTCCTCCTCCTCCTCCTCTTCCTCCTCCTCTCTCTCCCTTCCTCTTTTCCTCCCTCCCTCCCTCCCTTTTTTGCTCACTCTTCAGGTACCTACAGAACCAACTAGTAAAAGAAGAACATCAATTCAGAGGAAGAAACTGAGACAGAGCCAACACTTGCTGAAAAGCAAAGGACAAGCATAGGCTTGAAACATTCAAATGTTAATTTTTGTCCAGGTACAAGAATATTTCAGGACTAGAAGGATATTCAAAATATATTAGCAAAAAAGCAAATTTCAAAACATTGCTCAAGAGGGCTGCATTTTGTTTATATAATGTATATAAACATTTATGTTTATGTTGTTGTTATGCATTTGTTCATGTGTGGGTATGGGTGTACATGGCAAAGCACAGTGGTTCTCAAACAATCCCCTCGGGGGGCACATTTAGCAATGTCTAGGACCATTGTTGACTGTTACATCTGGGAGGAGGGGTACTACTGGCATCTAGTGAGTAGAGGCCAAGAATGTTGTTAAATATCCTACAGTGCATAGGGCAACCTCCACCACAACGGATAATCCAACCCAAGATGTCAATAGTGCCAAGGCTAGAAACATGGTGTGCCTGATACTGTTCATGGCCCCCTCATATAGTTTTGCCATACATCTCTATGTACCTAGGGCTGCTTATTGCAAACATCTGTGACTCTATGCCTGTGAGCTTCTTACTGCCCACAGGACATGCCTGGCCCATACACAGGACAAGCTGGTGGTTCCAGACAGTAATGACACTTAAGAGGTCATCAACTAATAAGTGATGGGAGTTGGTGGATAAATGTCCCAGATCCCTTATCCCAGAGGTGGGATGACCCTGAAGTATTTCCTATGCTAACTCCAATGCTCACCAATGGGTCTGAGCCCCAAATGTCCACAGTGGAAAGGATTAGGTACTTTTTACTGACTGCCTTCCCTTCCCTGTATCACTTCCCCACTTATCTACTAGTGTTTCCTGAGATCACCTCTCAAATGAACTCTTTACACATGAACCCTGTCTCGGGGTCTGCTTCAAGGGACCCCAAACCAAGTCACATGGAAAGATACCAGCAAAACATCAGTTATCTTTCACTAGATTGAGGAATTATGTGTGACTTCTATTTTCTTCCTCTGTGCATATTTTGTAAGTTTTCATTCTGTAATGAAAATATTATTATGGTAAAATATACATAATATAGAATTTACCATTTTAACTATGTTTAGGTGTACAGGTCAGTGGCATTAAGTACATTCACACTGTGTGCAACCACCATCACCACCATCTCTCTCTAGAACTTTTTTATCATCACAAACTGAAACACTGTAGCTGTTAAACAATAACACCTCATTCTTCCCGCCAAGGCCCTAGAAACTACCATTCTACCATTTCTGTCTCAATTAATTTGACTATATAAGGATCTCATATATGTGGAATCATACTGTATTTGTCCTTTTGTGTCTGGATTATTTTATTCAGTATAATGTCATCAAGATTCATCCATGCTATGTCAGAATTTCATTCCTTTTTAAGGCTGAGTAACTTTCTATTGTGTGTATAAATCACGTTTTGTAGGAAAAGTTTTTTTCATAATAGCACCTTCCTCTTCCAGACTTTGCCTTTTCTCTTCTCCAATATTAACAAAAGCCATCCTGGTATTTCTTGTTCCAGGTTCAAAAGTGGTTTGGAAACATCATTCAACCTAAATCTGAGTCTTCTGAGACTCATATACTTTCCAGTAGGCTTAGCCCTTACTCAAAACCCAGTGAGGTAAGATTTATTCTAATGTTTCATTCCTTGACACTCTAAACTTCCTCTCCTTGTCTTAATATGAGTTCCTCTTCCTGGAAGGTATGGGGAAGGGTTTTTTTCTTGATGATCTGATTAGCGTTCCTCATTCTCACTATACTGTTCCTAGTGAGCCTGCTCACTAACAGTGCTTAAGCTGTCTTTGGTATCGATTCTTGTCTTTCAAATAAGTATGGGTAAAACATATCACCAGCACCACTACCATCTAAAGTAGTCTTCTCTGGGAGATTTATAATCCTAAACATAGAGTGCTCATCATCTGAAATCCCACTATCCTATAGAGAGGTGGATATGAGCCTATTGGGTTGATGGGTACCATGGAAAAAACTCCAGGAGAGGAACTCTATCCCAGCTGGTCAATATAGTTACAGGGGAAGAATACATGGAGTAATAGGACATTCCTGAGAGAAGCAATGGTTCTGTTAGAGAGAGAACCTCTCTGGAACTTGGTTGCTGGTGTTCATCTGTTCTTCCATTGAGCTAACTCAGGCTCAATGCACCAAAGAATGAGCTTGTAGTGCTGAGAGTCATTTCCATAGTTGTCCCTTATTTGATCAAGAAATAAGAGGATTGCCTGACCGCTGTGGCTCAGTGGTTGAGCGTCGACCCATGCACCAAGAGGTCGCTGGTTCAATTTCCAATCAGGGCACATGCCCTGGTTGTGGGCCTGATCCCCAGTGGGGGGCATGCAGGAGGCGGCCAATCGATGTTCTCTTTCATCGATACTTCTATCTCTCTCTCTCTCCCTCTCCCTTTCTCTCTTTCTAAAATCAATAAAGAAAAAATTTTTTTTAATAATAGCTTATAAGAAGCTATGTCACTAGATGAGCAAGATGGGCTCAAAGCTCATAATCCATTAAAATTATTTGTCTCATTTACTTGTATGCCTTCTAAGTGCACACCTACCACATCTGCTAGCCAAAAGGCTTAGAACGTGTTATTTTTAAGCAAAATAAAACTGAGAAATTTCTGATACATCATCTTCTACATTTATTGAGATAATATGTGATTTTCTTCAACAGTAGAAATATTTAGGTCACTGAAGAAACATCTGTCTCTTATTGGAAGCAGGAAAGGAAAACATGACAGGAAAAAGTAGTCTTGGACATGTCAAGTGATTGGAAAAAATTTTTATGACCAGTAGGCTTAGTCATTCTCAATAATAGTAAAGCTGTGGTAGGTGCTAACAACCTCTGGTTGTGACTTCTGAAAGGTTTCCCAGGTAATCCAAAATAATTCCCAAAGCTGCTAGTATTCCAACTACTGGTTTCCCACAATTAATAAGGGAATATTATTATTATTATTATTATCATCATCATCATTATCATGATTATTATTATTACTTAACATTGTGGAAATTGAATGTTAAAGAATATATATTATATATTTTATATATTGTGTATTTATTTTATATTTTGATATATAAAATACTTTAGATCCCTTTAAGAAATACATTTGCTGCCCTGGCCAGTTTGATGCAGCAGTTAGAGCGTCAGCACGCAGAGCACAGAGGCCCGGGCTCAGTTCCCACTAAGGGCACATACCTTGGCTGCAGTTAGTCCCCAGCCCTGGTTGGGGTTGTATGGGTGGCAACCACTCAATGTTTCTCTCTCTCTATTCCCCCCTCTCTTTCTCCTGCTCTATCTGAAGATAAATGCAAAAGTATCCTCGGGTGAGGATAAATAAAAATTAATAAAAAGAAATGCATTTGCTTTCATTAAAAGAATCTCTTAGTCCCTTTGCTTAAGCTTTTATTTTTCTAGGCACAGGGTATGAATAAGAGCTAACAAAACCCTTTCTATTAACTAATTTGGCCTGGATTAGCTTTCCAACTCTGTACCCTAGAAACTTGATGATGTTGGAAGATATATAAATACTATATATGGGGAAAGTCATGCTTGACTGGACAGGAAGCTCTGTGAATGAACCACAATTATCAGGAGGGAAGGCATAGCTTTGAACTTCCTGCATACAATGACTCTCTTAACTAGGCCAGGAACCCCTAACATCATGGGCTGCTATAGGAGACACTGGTTCCCCAGTGGAGTTTGGGACTTCTAAACAAGCTGTAACTTGTAGGGAGCAAACATAATATTTGTTGAGTTCTACAGTATGTCGGACACTATGGGAAGCAATGGACATACAAATAAAAAAAGTAATAAGACCAACACAGCCTCTACCTTAATGGAGCTTAGAGTCTAGCCTTTCTTCATAGACAAAAAAAAACAAGATCCAGGGGCCTGAAATTTTCAAGCGAGATAGTATGTCCAAAATTTTTTCCAAAACAAGAATTCTTTATCTTGGATTTTTTAAAGAAATTTTATTGATTGATTTTTAGAGAAAGAGAAGAAAAAACATCAATTTGTTGTTCCACTTATTTATGTATTCATTGGTTGATTCCTGTATGTGCCCTGACTGGGGATTGAACCCACAACCTTGGTGTATTGGAATGCTACTTCAATCAACTGAGCTAGCTGGCCACAGCCTCATCTTGGATTTTTAGACATTCTCCCACTATAAGCTAAGGCCATACCTATCCTAGAATTCCAAAATACTAGGAGATCATGCCATCCTTGCCTACTGGATGGAGGTCTCTGGCTTTAACCCACTCCTACTTTTCGTTTGTTTGTTTGTTTGTTTGTTTGTTTGTTTGTTTGTTTGTTTTATCCTTACCTCTACCTTTAATCTAAACATCTTTTGGGGGGGAATATCTTTTCAGGAGAAGTGAGGAGAAATTATTAAAACTAGAAATTCAACTTCACATGGAAAGTCACATCCATGGAACTGGTTGGCATTGTGAAGAATGAAGCTAAGGACAAAAGGAATCATTATGCACATCATCCCTGGAGAAGAAGTGTTTAATCTGTATTTCCTGAAGTGTTTGTTCTACATAATGGGCTCTCAATAAATGTATGTTGTATTGGACTTCTCTTGGTCAGCCAATGCTTGTCCCTGGTTACCCAAATCATGACAATTGCAAATATTTTTTGTAAATGAGGCCCTCTCAAGGCCTCATCTCGAGTTTTTTTTTTTCTCACTTATCCTAAACTTGTTCTTTAAACTCATCCACTCCCTCAAACTGTCAGCTTTACCTCCTTTCTTTTTTTTTAAATATTTTTTTATTGATGTTTTAGAGAAAGAGAAAGGGAGAGAGAGAGAGAAACATTGATGTGAGGGAGAAACATTGCATGGCCTCCACTGGGAATCAAGCCCACAACCCGGGCATGTGCCCTGACCAGGAATTTAACTGGGACCTCCCAGTATATGGGACAACACTCAATCTACTGAGCCACACGGGCCAGATTTTACCTTCTTTCTTAACCAGGGTAGATCTCATGATCAACCGGGTCAAATGATTTTCTCCAATACTTTCAACACCTTTGCTTTCTTATTCTGATTTCACACCTACCTGGGAAAACCCCAATCCAGCAGTGATCCAGAGATGGCAGGCATTGTGCATTGTCTATTCAGTGGTCATCACCACTATCATATGTTCCTCATTAACAGAAACGTGATTGTTTTCAGATTTGAGAGAGCAATGTGCCTGAACCCAGGAGGTCAGTTGAGATTGGTCTAACCCCAGTGATCCTCAAATGGGGAGAGATTACCCATCCCAGGGACATTTGTCAATGTCTGGAAAACATTTTTGGTTGTCATGACTGGAGCAAGGTGGGATGCTACTGGCATCTAAGTGGTGGAGGCCAAGAGTGCTGCTTAACACCCTACAATACACAAGACAGACCACGCACACAGAGACCAGAGGAATCATTCATCTCCAAATGTCAGTAGTGCTGAGGTAGAGAAACCCTGGTCCTAACTAACCATGGTGATCTTATTTCTGTTTACTAAAGATTGGTTCAGGATGGGCATTTGCACCAATTGTGACCAATGAGATATAAAAAACACCTACTGGAACATACTTTTTCGCCTTGATAAAAACAGACAAATTTAAGGACAGCCTGACCATGACTTCCTATTTTTGGCTATTATAATAATATGGTGCTTGCAGAAAAGATGGAAGAGTGGAAAGATGGAAATAATCTGGCCTTTTATGACATTATTGAGTTGCTAAACCAACCCTTGGACTTTTTCCTATGTAAGACAAACTCCTCTTCTTAAGCCACTTTAGGTTAGGTAACCTGTTATTTGCAGCCCAAATTAGCCTTCTTTATGAACCAACCATGTTTCTTCTCCACTCCTCTATCAAAGCAGAGAGATCTCAGAATCACTCAACTTGGAGCCATTACAACTCTATGCTTTCTGATCTAAACAAGACCCTCCAGCCCTGGCCAGTTTGGCTCAGCAGTTGGAGCATCAACCCGGGGACTAAGAGTCATGAGTTCGATTCTGGTCAAGAACACATACCTTGGTTGCAGTTCAGTCCCCATACATGGTCAGGGTCATGTGGAAGGCAACCAGTTGATCTCTCTCTCTCTCTCTCTCTCTCTCTCTCTCACACACACACACACACACACACACACACACACAGTCTGTCTGAAAATAAATGGAAAAAATAAACCCTCAGATGAGGATTTAAAAAAACAAAAAAGATAAAAACAAGACCTTCCATGCTACCTGAAACTTGCTCTTCCTATCTCTAGTCAACTTTCCCACATGGGAAGCTTCTGTTTTCACTTCCTTCCTCAATTCACATCATGTTTCTCTTTACATAAGGTATAAGACCTTGTCTCCTACTTCAAAGAGATAATAAACACCAGCTGATGGAAAGTCCCTCAATTCTTTGGCATCTCTTATAAATATACCCACATCCATACCCGTCCTTGCTTCCTTCCCTCATCAATGCCCATTGTCCCCACCTCCATTCTCCAACAGCAAAGGGCTCCCTCATCTTATCTAAAGCTAACCCCTCCCTCTGTGCTTCAGAGCTCATCCCCTCCTGTCTTTTTGGCAGGTCTTTCTCCACTGATTATCTCCTCTTTCTCCTGAGTCTTCCACCTCTCTTACATCCTCTTTCCTAGTTCTTTTCCAGCAGAATTTAAATATGCTAAAACTGGCACAGAAAACTTTATCTGTAAAGGGCTAGATAATAAATATGTTGGACTTTATGGGCCACATTTAGTGACAGAGATGATAGATAGACATCAACAGATACACACATAATATATGTGCTATGTATGTAAAGGGATATATGTGTATATCCCTTTAGAAATACAAAAACTCAACTACAAAAACTCACTGGCCATATGAAAAAGGCTACAGGCAAAATTTGATATCATACACACACACACCAAGCAATAGTTTGCTATCCCTGTGGTAAAGAAAGAGAGATGGAAGAGTCTAGGAAAATGGCAACCTGTGTATGTTTTAATTCCCCTCCATTCTATACCCTAATATAGCTGCTTCTTTGAACCAAAAGTCTGCCAGGATCTATGGCAGATAGGTGGAAATCCCTAAAGGAAAATCTGAGTTTGAAAGGTCTCCCCCATGCACCATGTGGAGAGTCCCAAGACAAGCTGAAGAGCACTCTAAGGTGAAGATCAGACACAGTCCATCCTAGGAAGAGTTTAGTCTGGGGTGGGGGGGCCATGAGCCTCCTGGGATAAGGTCATCATCATTCCAGTGAGTGTGTGTCTGATCCTTCTGGCCCCCAAGAACTCCAAGAGAAATCCTGCTCCTGACTCTAGTAGGAAGCAAGGAGATTGGAGAACAAAAAGGCACCTGCCTGGTGTACACATAGGCCCCCTGTGGTGGAAAATTCGTCTCCTACCAACACTTGGGAAACTGCCACTGCTTCAAGTTCTCAACCCCCAGATCTGAGACCTAAAGGAAAATTAGAACCACGAGAGGCCCCAGAGGACCCTGAAAAGAGGATGGACCAACATAATGGACACCCAGAAAAATAGAGCTTCTGGAATAGACAGACAACAACTTGAAACAAGAATAATAAAAATAGGAGTAAGGTTTTGAAAAAACTTTATAGGGGTCAAGATGGCAGCATGGGTTAATACAGTACTCAGCTCCTCCCACAACCACATCAAAATTACAAATAAACTACAGAACAACTATCATTCAGAACCACCTGAAATCTGGCAGAATTGAAGTCCTGCAACCAGGGAATTATAGAATAAGCCACATCAAGATTGGGTTGGCTCCTACATAGCAGCTCTTCATCTGGAGTCGCAGTTGGTCCTCACAGCCAATTGGCCTGGAGGTCAATCCCTCTCATTGATGCCAACAACAATCAAGGCTCAGCTATAACAGGACAGTGCTATACCCAGCTCAGGTTACTGAGGAGACTGAGCCACTAGGCCCTACAGGAAACCTACTACACAAGACCACACTACAAAGTCTGGGAGATACAGCAGCTATACCTAATACATAGAAACAAACACAGGAAACTAGCCAAGATGCAGACACAAAGAAACATGTTGCACATGAAAGAACAAGTGAAATCTCCACACAAAAACTAAATGAAATAGAAGCAAGCAAACTATCAGATATCGAGTTCAAAACAATGATTATAAAGATGCTCAAGGAACTTAATGAGAACTTCAAGGAACTTAGTGAGAACATTAGCAACATAAAAAAGGACCAGTCAGAAATAAGGGATACACTAACTGAAATGAAGAATAATTCACAGAGAATCAACAGTAGAGCAGAGGACACCGAAAACCAAATCAAATATTTGGAATATGAGAAAACAAAAAACACCCAATCAGAACAGCAAAAATAGAAGAATCCAAAAATATGAAAATAGTGTAAGGAGACTTTGGGACAGCTTCAAATATGCCAACATTCGCATCATGTGGGTGCTGTAAGGACAAGAGAGAGCAAGAAATTAAAAACCTATTTGAAAAAAATAATGACAGAAAACTTCCCTAACCTGGTGAAGGAAATAGACATACAACTCCGGGAGGCACAGAGAGTCCCATATAAGATGAATCTAAAGAGGCCCACACAAAGATACATCATAGTTAAAATGCCAAAGGTTAAAGACAAAAAGAAAATCTTAAAAGCAGCAAGAGAAAAACAGTTAGCTGTATATAAGAGAGTGCCCATGAGACTGTCAGCTGATTTCTTTTTTTTAATTAATTAATTTATTTTTGTTACAGATGTTTCTCCTTTTTCCCCACTGATACCCCCCTCCCCCTCCCTCCCTGCCCTGTCCCCAGCTTTGTTGTCCATGTCCATTGTTCATGCATATAAGTTCTGTGGTTTATCTCTCCCCCACCACCCCCTCTTCTGGGTATTGTCAGTCTGTACCCCACTTCCACGTCTCTGGGACTACCCCATTCCTCAGACTGTTATGTTCATTATATTCCACAAATAAATGAGATCATATGAAACTTGTCTTTCTCTGTTTGGCTTGTTTCACTTAGGATGATACTTTTCAGGTCCCTCCATGTAGTCTCAAAGGATAAGAGGTCTTTCTTTCTTACAGCTGCATAGTACTCCATTGTGTATATGTACCACTGCTTTTTTATCCATTTGTCTACTGATGGACACTTGGGCTGTTTCCAGATCTTAACTATTGTAAATAGTGCTACTACAAACATGGGCGTACATATATTCTTTCTGATTGGTGTTTCAGGCTTCTTAGGGTATATTCCTAAAAGTGGGATCACTGGGTCAAATGGCAGTTCAATTTTTAATTTTTTGAGGTAACACCATAGTGTTTTCCATAGTGGCTGCACCAGTCTGCATTCCCACCAGCAGTGTACTAGAGTCCCCTTTTCTCCACACCCTTGCCAACATTTGTTGTTTGATGATTTGTTGATGGCGGCCTTTCTGAAAGGTGTGAGGTGATACCTCATTGTTGTTTTAATTTGCATCTCTCTGATGATTAGTAATGTTGAGCATTTCTTCATATGTCTCTTAGCCATCTGTATGTCCTGTTTAGAGAGGTGTCTATTTAGATCCTCTGCCCGTTTTTTTTATTTCATTCAAAATTTAATTAAATGTATTACGAATGTAATAAACAATAAAAATATATTGTATTTTTTTTATCTA